ACACATCATAATTTTTCATCAAAAAAATTCTGAAGAAAAAAAACTATGATTTTTTTTTTTTGCATCTCGTGCAGCCCTGGTTTTTAGTTTAACCTTGGCATGAACTCTGTGCTTGTCACATTCCCTCAGCTCAGTCTGTGACAACAATGAAACATACAGTGGTTAAATTTCTGCATTTGTATCTTTACATATCAACAAGGAAAATGACGCCTTTGAATCGGGTGTAAACACGTGACCCTGAGCTATAGTGCATTACTACACAGACAACAGTCCAGTTAGAGCTGGGTGAATGAGTGATAAGTGAAGGCGGATCAGTGAACGCACCAGTTTGGAATCGATCTTGGCCTCAAGTCTGGCGTTAAGGATGAGGCTGAGGATCCACCTCTCTGCCTCCTTGGGCGTCATGTTGAGCTTGTCTACCATCATGCTGAGAAGAGAGAGCGAGGGAGGGGGGGGGGTTCAGTTAATTAGATATCTTTTGGGGGAATCCAAAGCCTTCAAAGCTCCTTTTTAAAGTTTACTGTTGACTACACGTGAAAAAAACAAGGATGATATCTATAAAATCCAAAAATTAAGTAAAATATTCAAATTCAAACATCTGTTCATTGCTCATCTTCTAAAGGCAACTGTCCTCTGAGAAATAAAGGCGCTGCACACACTGTTTCTGCTAAGAACAGCTGCTCCAAGACGACGTACCTGATGCTGCTGCACTGATGAATTCCACGTTCTCAATGAAATCCACAAGGCAAGCAACCAGAGAGAAGTCATCCACAAGAACCTGAAGAAAAGAGACCAAGCAGCTGTGAGCGCGCATCCATTTATACACAGATCACTCACATATAGGAAAGTGAAGACAAACCAAAGAGAAGGCCAAATGTTCTTTATGTTCTCACAGTCAGTCATTCAGCAGGAGGAAACTCTCCCAGTAAACACAGAGATGAAACACATTTCTACTCTCACACAGATGAGACTGTAGCTGTAATTTCCAACCGTAACCATGTTTCAGTATAAACTCACTAGAGTACATAATAATACCATGCCACAACCACGAAGGAAGTGCAGGCAACTCTTTCCTGTGGTTTGGTTGTTTTACTTTGACCATTCTGCCAGAGTTTTCATCCACTGGTTCATCCACCCACACATTAAACCGTCCTGGTCAAAACTTCACAACCTCGCAGAGTGGAGTCGCTTCATTCAGACTGGTTGTGTTTGGTTTCTGAGTTACAGTGATTTTTTTGGTTCAAACGGTCAATTCTCAAAAACACAATGTTACAACCCCAGTACTGTTTTGGTGTTGCTTTTTTTTTCTCCATCTCTCTCTCTCTCTCTCTCAATGCACTCTAGGCACCACACCTCCACTCCTTATGGCTATGCCCACCTGTACAGCTGGTTTAAGGTTACATAAAAACTCTCCACAGTCTTGGGTCGCAGCATCCCCCTCTCCCATTCAGTAATAGTAGTTCGTAATGATTTATAAATGGTTTATATTTCTATTGATTTGGTTGTTAACACTTTATAAATCATTAATAAACAATTATAAACAAGTTATAACAATTTACATACATTGATGGAGGCTCACTATTTGTCAAGATCAAGTTAATGCTTACTACTCATTAATCTTACTAATGAGTAACTACCATTTCTAACTGGTAAAAGGAGCTTTAAGACCTGCAATGAGCTGCACCCAAGCAAGAGCCTCTAAACTAAACTGAACACTTAAGACAAAACAACAAAAACTAAACAAAAAGCAAATAAATACATAATGAAAAAGAAAACAAAAACAAGAAGACATAAAAGACAAAAACACTGCACAGTGTGCAATCTGTAATGCTCCCATTGAAACCAGTTCCTTGAACAGTGCAAGCTTTTTTTTTATCAACGTACCAACTGCAGCTCAAACTCAGGCGCTACTTGAAAACCCTCAGACTGAAAACAACATGAGCTCCAGACACCAAAGGTGACAGAATGAACATGTCATCTCTGACATATATGATGGTGAAATGTCTTCATTTCATTTCAATCCTGATGGCTCACCTGTCTTCCATATTTTCACTATGGCCCATACAGCTCCATTTAAATGAGCTCCTTCCCAAAATGAGACTCCAGAACGTAGTGCTCGCACTGGCACCCAAAGGTGTGTCTTGGAGAAACAATGGAACCTGTGTCATCAGCAAAGTTGTCAGACTCTGTTGTTGTGTAGATTCAAAGGCGAGACCAGCGATGCAAAACAGCACACAGTTTAATGGGAACTTTGGCTGTGGCTTCTGTTTCCATCCTGGTACTCTAGTAGAGACACAGGTCAAGTCCACTGTGACGGCCACAGAATATCCTGAGAGAGAGGCCAAAGAAATGCTGGCAGATATGGAGCCAGCAGTAGCACAAACACAAGTGTCCATCAGCACTCAGAAACATGCCTTATTCTGATACAGTGTGGGGCTTTGTTCCTCACTGTATGCATGCTGTCTTACTGTGTGTCATTAGACAGCTCACACAGCTTCTTTTGAACAACAGTGATCAACCCTGCTACACAGGGAGTCCCAACACAATGAGGGTGCTAGAGAACAGGGTCAAGGACATGAAGCCACCACACCTGATGACACCACTACCCAGAACCCCTTGCACAGTTCACGTACTGGAAAATCACTGTTGTTCAAAGGTATCTTTTCAAGATACCCAAAGCAGCACCATCCTGGTGCTGTTCCAGTTAGAACATACTGCAACATGACCGTGCGATCTGAATCTGGCCTGCCCCTAGCATCAGCCACACTCTCAAACAGAAAAAAAAAAGTCCCGGGTCCCTCTCATTGAACCTTGGAACCAGATGCAAATTACTCACCAAATCAAAATGTGAGGAGGAACGGCCACCTAAAGCAACACCATCTGCACCTGGTCCCTGAACAGCTTCACTGCCCCACTTACCCTCTTTGAGCAAACTCAGTTTCTCACACTCCAAAGTGATTCTGGCCTGCTCTGTTTCACACTTCATCTTTTCTAAAGCCAATTGCTTCTCCACTTCAGCTCTATGCTTTAATTTGTCATGTTCTATCTGCAACAAAAGCAATTCCTTTTGCTGTTCAACAGACAAACCAGTGTTCTGGTGTAACTGTGAAAACACAACAGTAGCACCTTCAACCATACCTCCCACTGTAGGCTTACCTGGTAACACATCCATTTCATACAGGTTGGCCTTTAAAATAGACTTAACAGTGTCTTTGAGCCTTTTATCACTAATTTCATCATTGTAGTGGCCTGCGATTTTTAATAGCTGTACAAAGGAACAGTTATTCAAAAACACTTCTGAGAGTCTCAAAATAATCCTCAACACTAGCCATCTTACACACATTGACCAAATGAATTTAGTAGTTAACACCTGGCTGTAAAGAAAGCAACAGGGGTGTCCCCTCTATCTGCCAACCAAATACTAAAATAACTCACCCCTAGTCTTCATGAGGTGAGTTGCGGTGGGTACTTATGCACTGGTGAAACTGTCACCGATTCAAAAACCTCTGAAACGTAACAAGGAGCCCCAACTGCACACTGGGAACAACTGGTTTCATTTTTAATAATGCATTGTATTTTATATGCTTACTGTCACAGTTCTGCATCTCAGGTCACCTGCCTCACATCAGCAGTCCCTGTCATCCAGCTCCCAGTCAGCAACTCCCTACATTAGCCACTGCCACCACATCAAGCTAACGCCATTCACCTGGTCACACAGCTGCTCCTGATTACACTCACCCAGGATACAAAACCCCAGCCTTCCAGTCACTCTTTGCCAGATTATTCTTCGCTTTTCTCCATGCAAGACTCTCCAGCATTACTTGGACTGATTCCCTGTTGCCGAATCTGTTTGTCCCTGATTTGCCTTTCTCACCCGAACCCTGCCCCAGTTTCTGCCTAGGTAAAATCAAAGGTCATTACAAACTGCTTTTGTTGAAGTGTGTAGTGTATTTGGGTACCACACACACCCGTTACAGTTTACCATAAGTTTTAAATGTAAAATTTTCATCAGTAAAGTAACCAGTAAGTCCAGCTGTCAAACAGTGCAGTAAAATGTACAATATTTCCCTCTGACATGTAGTGGAGCAGAAATATAAAGCAGCAGAAAATGGAAATATTCAAGTAAAGTACAAGTACCTCGAAATTGTAATCCTAAATGTACTTAGTTGCTATCCTAGAAATGCAGTCTTAAGAGTTTGGTCCTCAAAGTCCTCAAACTTCAGCCTCTGCAGAAACATTCTTAGTTGAGCTGTATGAATACCTATGTTGCGGTCATGTGATGTCATCAGCTGACTCCAGCAGATGTCAACTAGTCAAAGAAGAGATGGGAGTGGGTAGAGGGTTTTTTTTGCTAAGGCAATAGTCATTTATACTTTTTCTATGTAAATATTTAGAAGGTTAAATATATATTTTCTAAATGTAGTGTTCCTGCCTTTAACTGTTGGTAGAGGTGGTTGTTGTTGTTAAAGAGACTGTAGTTCTATATTCCAGGTGGGAAAGCAGTGTAGGATCAGACAGAGGGGTCAGGTTTGGCATCACCTCTGCTGCACCACAGAGCCTAGTGTTGTTGTCCACGAGCCTGCTACATGTTGGTGAGGGTTGGAACTTACTGAAACTATTATGGTCACTAGTAAAAATTAGAACTTTGGAAAAAAAATGTAGTGATGGTGAAATTAAGCTTTACAAACCAGCAAAGCTTTCAACAACAATGACAAAAGGTTCATAACTCACAGCCTTTTAAATCAGAACTGGATGGAGACCTCTGCTGGTCAAGGTTAGAGAGTGCTGTGATACAAAATGATTCACAACAAACCAACACGTGAACTATATTGACGCAAAGATGAAAGAAGTGACAGATAAATAAATGAATGCATTTGTGGGAACTTAGATTTTAAAAGACAGACTGAGTTTAAGGATTTATCATCCTTACGAACTCTCCTTCACATCTTTCCTTTAGAAAGATTTATTTATTTATTTTTTTAAATTTTTCGATAGCAGCCGTATGTAAAGACAGGAAGAGGAAATACACTGCTCAATAAAATTAAGAGAACACTTAAATCGCACATCAGATCTTGATGAACAAATTATTCAAGTTAAAAATCTTTACTGATGTACATTGTATAATTTGTTTAGAACAAAATAACTTGATTTTGAATCTTCAGTAGCAAACATTCAGTAAGTGTACAGATACAGTCAATATACAAATCTTCAAGGAGTCACAGCAAGATAGATTTTCATTTCCAGAACAGTCTTCCTCCAAATTAAACCTCTGACATGAGTTACTGAATTGATCATGAGAACCAGAACAGTTCAGGTCACCCTGCTTCATCTCTGGAAGGTTTCAAGATTTTTAATGCTCTTAAACAAAAGAGAGTTTCAAGGTAAAACTAAAGTATCAAAGATGTGTTGATGTGAGACAAACACGCTGACACACACTGTTTCTGCTTCATGTTAACTTCAGCTCTGTTGAAAGGTATGGATCCACCTCACGCAGAGCAGCGATCAGAACTGAACTGGCTCGTGATCCTTTTCTTCGCACCGTGTCGATCACCACTCGAGCTTTCTCTGCCCTGGTCGGTGTCCCAGCAGCAGAGTCCATTTCACCATCAGTTACCACCCCAGACTGCAGGAGGTTATCCAGCAGCTCCCGTAGGACAGGTCCAGACACTCTGTCGATAAACTGAGTACGAACAGACGCCAGCTTCTCTTCTGCTGGGACACTCTGAGTCCATACTGGAACACCCTGAGGTCCTGCTGGACCAGGACCTGGAAGATAAAGAAGAAAAATACTCAATGTTCAATAACATACAGTATATATTTTTTTATATAGTACTACCAGTGGTGGAAGAAGTATTCAGATCCTTCAGTAAAAATATTAATACCACACTGTAAAAAAAAAAAAAAATTCTTACAAACCAAAATGTAATTTCATTTAAAGCACTAAAATACAATCAGGGAAATGTATGAACAGTAAAAGCAGCAGAGAAATGTCCCTTGTGACTGTTTCAATATTATATCATTAAAATATTAGTTGTGCATGACCATAAAAAACCCAAATGAAGTAGGAAATAGTAATTCCCTCCTGTTCTTTACTATTCTCCTATCAGGTGGCGTGATGCTGTAGTTGGATGAAGACTTTACCAGTCAAGTGAACTTCACATTTCCAGACATCTATATCTGTTTGGTCTCGGACAGATACAGTAGCTTCTTTTGTGCTTGTAGGCAGGATGATCTCAAATGTTGGGTGGTAATTTGGTCCAAAGTCCAGCTCAAAATCATCTTTCTGAAAACCAGCAGCACCAGTGTCAGTATCTTTTCAGTTTTCAGAGTACAATTGATTCTTCAAGCAGGTTGAAGAATCGTGTCAGCTTGTTGCAAACCTTTTATCTGAAAGACTCACCTCAGGCTGGACTTTATGGGCCTTCAGACAGTGAACAGTGTAACTTTGATCTTTGATGAGTGTGCATTTGGAAGGCTTCTGGATGTACACAGAATCCCCCTGCTTTGCCTCCACCTTAAGAACAACCAGAAGATTTTAATTAGAGGGTTCATCCTCAGAAGAGCCTGACTGAAACATCAGCAGGCCAGTTTTACATCATCACACATTTTTTCTTTCAGATGTACACCTGGCTTCCTGGGTCGGATGGCTCTGCGCACTGATGCCAGGCTTCAAGTAGCGGTGAGGGCATTTAGTCCCTGTGTTCCCGCTCACTCTTTATCTGTTTTGTTCCTGGTTGTGTGTGTTTTCCTGTTGCCTGCTTCCCTGGATGCTTCATCGCCATCTTGATCACCTGTCTTCCTGTAGGCCTGTTCTGCCTCATCTAAGTATCTTCACTGAATTTACCTGCCTCCAAGTGTTTCTGTGTTTGGGTCCTGAATCATTGAACAGTACGACCTGACCAAGAAATGGACCCTAAACAAGCTGCTTGCTTCTGAGCCAGCTAGCTACAGAACCACTAGCCACCAGCTCATTTCCCACCTGACTAGCATTGGACCAGCTAGCTTCCAGCCTGCTTTTCAGTCTGCATCCGAGTCAGCTAGCTCCAGAACCGCTAACCCCCAACCTGCATGCCCCTCAGCCTGCACCTCATTGTACACCCAACCCATTAGTCTTGGGTTCATGAGCCTGCAGCCTCTCAGTCCTGTTCTGGCTAGTCCACTGGGGGGTACTGTCATGATCTGCCCCTCTAATGGATTTTCTGGACTCTATATTATTGGCTGTTTTATTTTAGAATCATTTTATTTGTGTCTGTTGGTTGTTTTGCTTCCTGTCCTTGTGTGTTTCCCACCTGTTTGATTGCTTCTTTATGTGTCTGCGTTTGGGTTCTAAAATCACTGAACTCTAACAAACCCATCACCTCATCCTCTCCTGGCACACACACACACACACACACACACACCAATGTATTGTCTGTCTGACAGTCCTTGTAATGTTTATCCAGTTCTTGTCCATCTTTTTTAAACTGGGTTTTGTCTAGCTTCAAAAATAAGACGGTTAAAAACATTTTATCAGGTGGGAAACTGAAAGATGGACATGTATCACACAATCTGATAGATACTGATGAGTTTGGAATGAAAGTGAAGCTGTAACATTTCCTACATCTTTACCTCTGCCAGAGGGACGTTGCGTGGCAGGAGATGCACATTGAGGCTTTGCTTCTGTGCTGTTTGGTTTGGTGGTTGGAGGAACAGCAAAATTTGGCCACTAATTGCTTTCATGTTGTTCCAAATCCTCCATAAAACATCCAAAGCCCAGACCAGGCCAAAGGAAGAGAGATGAGGGACTTTGACAATCACATGGGTGTCTGTGATCTCCAGCGGTTCGAGGATGCTCATTCCATCATCAGTGATGTGGACCACAGACAGCAGGCCTTCAGAGAGCACAGCTGTGAAAACACAGAAACATTCATCATCTGTTTATCTGACGACAGCCTCGTTACTATGGCAGTGATCATTTCAGGAGGAGAAAACATGCAAAATAAATGAAAAGACATGAAAGAGCATAAAAGATAATGGTGTTTAATATATTCAAGATCCCCAGATGATACATACTAATGACTTTAGTGACTTCCTGATCTTTCCTTGGACACTATTGTGAGGACAAAATCTCCATTAGTATCTAGAAATATAAGAATTTGAGTGCAGATTAAGGAAAAGGGGGAAAGACATCTCTGTTTGGCCTTTTACCACCACAACCCTAAACCTGCACAGGTGCCATGAAATGAACTGATTCTTTGAGCAGCTTTAATTTCCACTGTAAGATAGTTTTAAATATGCTAATTACTCTGCTGTGCATTTGTCATTTGACTCTAATGGATTAAAATCTCATTTTAAACATGAAGCAAAACATTAAATAAAATTACTCTCCATACAGTGTGCCACAGTACAAATATACACAACTTCTGTCAAAAATGCCATGAAATTAGCTGTTTTTCATGGTCCCTGAGGAGTCTAGAGTCAAAATCCACTTGTACGCAAGATATAGTGGGGCTGACCGTCGGTCAAATCTCAATGGGCTGCTGCATCAGTGTTTGGAGGATTGTCAGTCTTTTTACCAGAAGGAAAAACTTCTCTCCTCAAGCTCCACGGCTGCTGCTGGATGTCAGTTACAGATGTTTGCAGGCTCTGACCTCATGTCAAACATTACTATGCTTCAGCAGAACATCCACAGATGGTTATTACTCAATGTCAAAACTGTATTCTTCTTTAGTAGGAATGATATCACATATCTGACACTATCAACGTGAATATTGAACATATTATACATAATAATAATGATATATTGGAAAACATTTGTGAGAACCGCAGGATGTCCACAGTTACCAAGTGTACCCCAGTGAGCTCTGATAGACCCCATCATGGATGGAGGTCTTAATTGGAGCTCAGGCAGTTACTGGACATACGTCACAGTGTGGGTGTTGGGACAGATGTTTGTGAAGACTGTGGTTGTACTGAACTCAGCAGCCTACAGGGGGCACCAACAGGACTATAGAGTTCCATCACTGCTCTAACAAAGCACAATCGTCTGCTCACCATCCTTTGTTTCACAGTGTGGGAGGTGGAGCTCACAGACGGCATCCTCAGGACACTGGATACTAAAGAGCGGCCCTGCAGCCGCCTTGCCAGCTGATTGGAGGAGACTCTCATCCCATTGGACAGTCCTGTAGAGCAGCTCCGCCTCCTGAGCCATAACAAACACCAATCCAGTTGAAGTACACTGGAACCCACCTGGACCAGGACACCTGAACCTGTAGGAGACAGAAGGCTGAATGACGACAACGGACCTGTTAAACCCTGAGAGGACAATCATCCCAAATCAGAGTCCACTTCTCGAGCCCTGGGAGACCAGAGGACGAAGGAGACAAGCAAATATCTGCAAATACAAAATCCAAAGAGGCGATAGAGCTGACCCAGCTGTGATACAGCTGTGCTGTTGTCATCAGAGACTGATGCAGATGTAGGTTCAGATAGTAACACAATGGGCACTGACGGAGAGAGAGGGGGACAACAGCCATCAATGAGACCACCACCAGTCAGAGAGCATCAGGGGATTGCTGTGGCTCAGAAGACAAAAGCTGTGGAGGATGGTGTTAAGTGATTTTATTACATCATTACCTGTATGAGACTTGTGTAGATTCAGTTTGCAGTGCGGGCATGAAGCTTGATGGAGGCTGTGATTCAGAAAGAAACAACATCAGCTGTTTTAATACAAATAAACAAATTGTGTTGAGTGAAGCAAATAAAGTTCTTATACAGTCCACACTGAACTGAAACATCAGTGTACAGGTCAGAGGGAAAATGAAGTCTCAGTCTGGACTGATAGTGTGACACATGCATAAGCTCCCATTATCATTTTTTACAGATTACATCTGAGTGTTTGCTGCAGCAGATTGAGCAGTCTGTGGAGAAAGGCGACTGACGATTATTACAACATTTCAAAAGGTAGAAAAGACATCAAATAGCTGACTTAAAGTTTTATCATTTATGAAAGTATAAATCTATAATTTACTGAAAAGTATCTGAGGAGGATGTTTCTAACACCAACTGTGTGAAGGTAGTTGGTGCCACATAATGTGAAGGTGAATAGTAATCCAGTAGCTAGAATGTGTTTGCTGAGGTTACAAACATGTAACAGACTGAAGCTTAGCAGCATGAGGAGATCCACAAATCACATAGATATTTTCAAAAGACAAAGGCTGTTTAGTTTGTCATTCCCAGGAAACAGTTTCCTTGCTGAGCTGAGGTGGAGGGAGTAGCACAAAGAGGGATTTTCCCATGAAGAACACTAACTTGTGAAGAAATACCACTGCAGTAATTTAAGAACAACCTCACTACAGTTTATAACAGATATTTTGACAGCAGCCATGTTGTCAGACTGCAGACACAAGACCTAAATTTCTGACCTGCCAGAGACTCACTGTCTCACCATCCCTTTACACTCAGCAGCAAACCTTTGCAGTGCTTACTGGAGGTCATGGTCTGATGAAGCCAACAGAACCACATCATCTGTAAAAAGCAGCGAGGTCACCAAACCAGACGCACTCCTTCCCCCCAGCTGAACCATCAGATTCTGACCATGAAAATCACAAACAGGTGACAAGGGACAACCCTGATGGGGGCAACACCAACTGGAAACGTGCTTGACTTCCTGCCAGAAATACAAACACAACTCTCACTACAGTTAAATAAGGACCAGATGGTCAATGTAATGGCCTTGGTACCCCATACCCCCGCAGTGCCCCCCAGGGTAATAAGTCTACATAACAATTGTAGACTGGATGAGCAAACTCCCTTGACCCCTCCAGTAAGCTTGAGAGGGTGAAAAGTTTGTCCACTATTTCACACCCAGGTCGGAGTCTACATTGCTCCTCCAGAATCCGAGGTTCCACAGTCAGTCAGAGGCTCCTCTCCAGTACCCCGGCATAAGCTTTCCCAGGGAGGCTGAGCAGGGGAACACCCCCATATTTGAACCCTCCAGTCCCCCTTTTTAAATAAGGTAACCACCACGTGGTCTGTCAGTCCATAGGCACTGTCCCTGACCTCCATACCTGTCAGCCAAGACAGCTCAACAATGTCCAGAGCCTTCAGCATCTCAGGACGAATCTCATCCACACTTCTGATGTTCATGTGCTCATTGTAGGCGCTGTCAGTGGTGGACAGGCGTCAGCATGGGCACTCTGACCGGTGTGCGGCTACACAGCCCCATATGCAGCAAGCTGCCATACACTGTGTGTTGTGACACCTCTTTTTATCAGAACCACCATTCATTTGTGTTCATTTGTGCTACAGTAGCTGTTCTGTGGGATCAGATAACACAGGCAATCCTTCACTCCCCACACACATCAATGAGCCTTGGGCACCAATGACCCTGTCGCCAGTTCACCGGTTGTCCTTCCTCGGACCACTTTTGGTAGGTACTAACCACTGGAGACCGAACACCCAATAAGACCTGCAGTTTTGGAGACGCTCTAACCCAGTTGTCTAATCATCACAATTTGTCCCTTGTCAAAGTCACTCAGATCCTTAAGCTTGACCATTTCCATTCTAACACATCAGCTTCGAGGACTAAATGTTCTCTTGTGGCCTAATGTATCTCACCCACTAACAGGTGCCATTGAAATGAGATAATCAATGTTATTCACTTCACCTGTCAGTGGTCATAATGTTATGGCTGATTGGTGTATATCTCATCTGGCTTGCGAACACCTCGAGGTCCCACAGGAGGAAGTGGAAAACGTCTCTGAGGAGAGGGATATCTAGATTATATTTGCCTGACCTGCTGCCACTGCGACCCAACTCCAGACGCAGAAATCCAATTTGTCTGTAAGCCAGATCACTGATTGTTCAGGTGATTGATCAGGCTGAGTGATTTCAAACTGATTATCAAAGAAACAATCAATCTCATAGAAATTTGTCCAGATTCGAAAATTATTCAAGATGACATATTAGGAGCAAAAATTGGGCTGAATCTGTACAGTGACTGTTTATCTTAAAGGTCCATATAGTATAAAGGAAGAAGTCCATGTGTTGTGTGATTATAAAGCAGGTCTAGGTTCTATATTAATACTGTGAAAGTATCAAAGTGCTCAGTCCACAGAGAAATTCACACCAGCCAATCAGAGCATCCTCTCCTCTGACTGGCTCACCGACCTGTTGTTACTAGAGCTCCAGAGAAAAGCCTGAGAGAGGAGATGTAAAACTACATTAAGATGGCTTATGGTTCTTAAAACCACAAATATATCTTCTTATGGATCAACACTTCAAATAAAACACAGAAGAAGAGGAAAATATGGGAACATTAAGGAAAGGAAATTGTCAAATTGTTCAGCAACTACTTCTCTATCGCACACTGTAAAACTGTACACAATAGATGCCAAAGAGACACTTTACACATTTCTTTTTCTACACCTAAATCCTCTGAAGCCCATGAAGATTTGATATAACGCTCCAATTAACTGTGTTCATAGCATAGCCTGTCACAGCACAGGCTCAATCAATCAGACTGCAGGATTTGATGTATTACATCTGTATGACTATATGGCTCCAGAATTGGGAGTAAAACAGCTTGTTGAACAAATTACAGAGAATTGGAAAGGGTTGCACACAGAATTACTTTGAGTATGTAGTTAAAGTCTGATACAGCCTGATAATGTACAACACATCTGTCTAGTCTCATCTCACTGCAGAACAGAGGTTTAGGAGATCCTTTGTTCCCACTGCCATCAGGCTATACAACACCTCAGCTAAAGGAGCTGTTTTTATTATAATTATAATTATTATTATTATTATTATTATTATCAATAATGAGCTAATGGACACATGAATTTCCCCAGGTTAAATAAAGTATCTATCTATCTATCTATCTATCTATCTATCTATCTATCTAGTACTAAACTATGGATCCGTTTCTACGGTGAAGACCTCATCATCTGTTCCTCTGAACAAAGGGGTGAAGAAGTTGCCAGCTACAGCAGATATTTGTTGAATCTTTGAATATTACTGATAATATACTGATGTGTTTTGAGCCCTTAAATCTGTCTGGAACATCAGGGCACAACATTTTTTCTCTCACCTTCACCAGCTTTGTGTGGTCCTCAAACACATCCAGCTTTGTGTCACCCTCCGACACATCCAGCTTTGTGTTGCCCTCCGACACATCCAGCTTTGTGTCTGTTGCGTTTGGGTCCAGTTTGACATCAGAGTCACCTGATGGGAGGAAAAGACACACAGCAGACATCAGACATCAGAAATCAGCTTTTCCTGTTCCTCTTCTCCTCCGAGTCCAACAGAAGCAGTTCTCTTGTCATCCCTTTCCTCTCAGGTGCCCCTGCTTCTCTATTGGCTGTGTATCAACCTAAACGACGTATCCAAATATCTGTTACTGAGTCAACTTACTCTATAATATAGCTGTTTGTAGCTATTCAGTGAAACTCACCAGCTGCTGCAGCCACATGTTGTTTTTGTATACACGCTCTGATAACAGCCTATGTACAGTAGAAAGTCAAATCGGGACAGAATGATTATGAGCTTTTCCTCCATGTCAGCAGTTCATTTGTTTTATCTATCAGTGTCTTGTTCTGGGAATCAGATGCAATAACACAAGGATGCAGTTGGGCTTATTACCAGCCAGTGAAAACATCATGGCTGGTACTGTTTTCACCTTGAAAACCTGTGTGTGTGTGTGTGTGTGTGTGTGTGTGTGTGTGTGTGTGTGTGTGTGTGTGTGTGTGTGTGTGTGTGCATGCGTGCGTGTGTGCACCAGAACAGCGGCACAAGATATGGTCACAAAACTTTACAGGTGTGTAGTTGAATTCAAAATGAAGTCAGAGTTCAAAGATGGGTGTGGTCCAACCCATGACTACTGCGTACTAATATCATAACATAGTAATAACTGCCGAGTACTTATGTCATAATGTAGTAATAACTGCCGAGTACTTATGTCATAATGTAGTAATAACTGCCGAGTACTTATGTCATAATGTAGTAATAACTGCCGAGTACTTATGTCATAATGTAGTAATAATGTAGTAATAACTACTGACTAATCATAGGTCTGAATGTCAACATGCTGACAGACCTTGCAGCTGCTGTGATGGTCTCTAGTTTAATGTTTGTGGATGACAGACCTGCAGCGACACTTTGGCTCAAAGTCTGTTTTCTCTGTAAACAACACAGACGTTCCTCGAACACACAGGCCATTATTACAAAAGCACAATCATGTTGGTCCATGTGATGTTTCGACAGCTGTTCTTACCTTTATTTAATGATGACCGATCCTCTGAGCACAAATCTTCTTCAGCAGCAGGCTGCACACTCACTGAGGATATTTACAAATCATTTGATAAAAATTCATGTATTGCATTTTCTTTAAAAACATTATTATAGAAAACATGAAAAATATCAGGTTCATTCTGACCACAGCTGCAGTCTCATATGCACCTGCTGACAAATATGACTTTCGTCCACTTTTGGCTGAATGTGTTCCTGACTCCATAAAAATCCAGCAGGTCTCTGACACGTTTCATACTTATTTAGACAGAAATCCATAATAAACACTGAGTCTCACATTTACTCAGTTGTAGTGAGTGAAATGATCAGCATGAATGAACCTGACTCCAACATCCAACTGCTCACCTGTTCACATTCCCATGTCATCCCCACCTGCTGACGCTCTGCCTCTCATTTTCTCCTCTGCCCTTCAGTGTATAAAAGTAGCTCAACTAAACTAAAAGTAAGATGCTGGACAGTATGTCTTAATCCAATAAAACATTAACATGGATATTCTTCCAATACTGATGGATCTCCACATCGCAAACTGAAAATCACATATAAAACTAGGAAATTCCAGGGAAATTTTGAGTGCCACGGGGGCTACTGCCGGGATGAGTACATTACTTATTTCCAGTGTTCAAAAGCCACCCTGATCATATTCTGGTTTTGAGAAATGTCTTGATATAAAAGACTCTGATATAAAACAATGTCACATCCCTCCACCATGTATTATGTGGGAAATATCTCATATTCTGTGTTGTTTTTATTAATAAAACAAGAGGCAACATGTCTTCAAACTGGCATTTAAAGGGTTAAAATCCTGAAAACTAATAAACATTTGGTAGGTTTGAGCAGAACTGAAGTGGTTTAAGAGATGTATGCAAAAAAAGGCAGAACAAAATATTGATATATGATGATTTTATAGCATTTTCTTTGTGTGTCCTTTTTTGGACGCGAGGAACCCCAGAGGGTACAAAATGTGTTACCGTGTATAATAGACTTAGACATAGACAGTAACTGACATTAGATTTTAAGAATATGTCAAAAAAGACACTTTCTTGCAGAAATCCATACCTTCAGCTGTAACACAGCCAAAATGATCAGCTAATCAAAAAAGAAAAGTGAGAAAATGTCCCCTGAGAGTTAATAAATCCCATGAACTGCTAATTTAAATTACCACTATTATGTTTTTTTCTGTGCTAAATTTAACATTACTGGGGAGGAGAGCAACGCGACTAGAAGTGACAGCGAGAGAGGGCTAGTAGCTTCTCCTCTCCTCTGTCTCAGCAGAGACCGTCACAACTTCATTCACTCATTCAACAAAACAAAAAGAGAAGCAAACAAAGGAAGCAGTTAAATGGACTTACATATTTAAGACCTAACTAAATGTAATTTAAGACCTAACATGCGGCTAATGTAAAGCTAGCGGAGCTTGGAGAGTTGGTTATCTGGTTGCTAGGCGCACGCACGCACGCACACAGGTCAGGAGCTGCCGTTGCCATGGCAATGTGAAAATCTGCCCAGAATTTGGCTTCTACATGGCTTCAAACAACTGCAAAATATGAGAAAAACCGTTACTTCTTTTCAAAAACCGAAAAGACCGTGACAGACACTGAAGCCAGAAGTCTCTATTTTATTCAGATATTCCTTAAAATGAGTGAGTAAGCTCAGTGCGAAGACAGAGTGAGATTCTTTTGAAAAAAAAAAAGACGATTACATTAGGTGTCAATGAGAGTGAGACAGGTATTGCTGCAGGACTCGGCACCCCCGTTTAAATTTTGTGCAGACCCTGCCTGTCAAAGTTACATTTTATGAATCCCAACAACTATGTCTACATTTTCAGAAAGAATTATTTGTCTCCTTTTTACGGTTTGGCCGTGAGCTCGAGTTAAAAATAAAAATAAAGGTTATTTTTTTACTGCTTCACGCACTCTAGCCAACTGACGCTTTCACTCTAACTTTGAAGAAAAAGTGATTTGCACTCCTCCTTTGAGTGCTCATAGTTTGAAAAGTTTACAAGTTATGTAAAAACAGTTCCCATGTTTTGAGAGAGCAGAAGTTTTCCTCCGTTTTATAGTTTGAATCACATTTCTACGTGCAGGTATGAGAGAGCTGGGTGACTCAGAAAAAAGGTGAAAATTTTGTAGAAAAAAGGTGAAATTTTGTGGGTTTCTAAAGAAAATTCCAATGCATTCCTTATGCGTTATTTATTCCCAGTTTTTTGGGAATAACTTTGGGAAAAATTGGAATTTTAACACCAAAAGTCATAGCACCCCTTTCGGGATTAAGACGCACGTTTTGATGTATATATTACTGGGGTTTTCTCAAAGCTGCGGGATGAGGCACTCCTGTACAGCTAGAATAGCTGAGAGGAGTGCCTCGGAGCTCAGCACCCGTGGCACTAATAATCCAAATATAATATTCAAAAGGTTTCATGCAATGAACATCTGTTCCACTGTTATATATCACCACCTCACAAATCTAAAACTAAATCTTGTTGAACATGTGTGGATCTTGTGTTTGTATCTTTTAATTCCAGTTTGCTTAAAATCTTTAACCAACTGAAATCTATAAAATGATAAAGCAACATGTAATACAGGATTATTACTCAGCAGCCCAGTGCAGAGAATACTGACAGGACTGCCAAAACCACTGCAGTCTCACACTGAACTCAGATCAGTCCAAGTCAGGAGATACACTAAACATCAAGTTACCCACAACAGTCCTGTTCCAGGACTAAGATTTAACTAGCACACAGTAGTTCTTCATCCTGTTGCTTCACACTTAAATATGATCATAGTTCACTCATCAGTGTTTCGTCTTTTCTGAAGTACTGCAGTGTTTCAGTACTTTGAAACATTCTCATGTCACTCTGCAAACAAAGTCTATTCATTTTCCTCCATCTCCAGATGACCATGTGGTTCATACTGCTGTCATCTCAAGCATTCATATGCACATAAACTCTGTCCTTCAAATCCTGTTCAGACACTAAGGATCCAGATTCCCTCAAAGCAAACACAGCCTCTAGTTCTTTTAGAAATTAGACACATTTTTCAGAGCTCCAACCAAGTCTTTTGAAAAGTCAATTCATAAATATGTTGGTGATGAAATGAGCCTCATCTTACAGTCAGACTGTATTGACGACAGGTGGTGAATAGGAGTTTCAGTACTCACAGGTTTTGTCTCTGGAAGCTTTCATCAGCCTGCTGTTGACCCTGTAGAGACAAACACAACCACAACAGTTACAGAGTGAGTGGAAAATAATCAGGTTTTGAACCTCACAGTGATGATCCCAGATCAGTCTCACCCAGCTGAAAATTAAGTGATCCAGTATCAATGAGCCTGATCAGTGGGTTGGTTAGTTAGTGAACCGGTATCAACTTGAGCTTTACAGTCTCACTTTTAAGCACGTTACCATAGTATCACCATGGTAACCAGCAATGGATCAGGTTAGGTTTAAACATAAGATCAAAATGTATAGACAAGCTTTCAACATAAACAACATGAACACAAGGAGACTGGACAAGCTGGTCAAAAAGGCTGGGTCTGTGCTTGGCAGGAGTCTGGATTCACTCAGGACTGTTGTGGAGAGACGCATTCAATGTAAAATGGAGGCCATCTTGGACATTACCAGCCATCCTCTCCATAACATTCTAGCAGGACAGAGCTGCAGCTACAGCTGCAGCAAACATCTCATCTCACTGCGCTGCAGAACAGAGAGGTTCAGGAGATCCTTTGTTCCCACTGCCATCAGGCTATACAACACCTCAGCCAAAGGAAGTGGACTAATCTAGTTATTATCATTTATTTATTATTAACTGTTTTTATTATTATTATTATTATTATCAACAATGAGCTAATGGACATATGAATTTTCCCTGAAGGATAAATAAAATATTGATCTATCTATTTATTTCAGGTTCTTCTTTCCCCCGTGAGATTTTATATACGTTGCCTTTTACGTACAGTTACATGGTACTGCTGCCTCCTGGCTCATCATCATGTGACTCTCTTTGTCATTGGATGTTTCACCACTTGTCAAAACATCGTCTGAAGGGTGTACTGGCCGGGTTGATCAGGCCCAACCTGAGCCAGGTGGCTTGACCATTGCTCCTCTCTCTGTGGCCACAGCCATTCTGACACTACCTCCTCCTCTTCCAACGTGCTGCAGATCTTCTTCTGCGGAGGGACTGCCCTAGGACACCTCTCGCTTCAAACTCCATGTGCAGGCACTTTGCTCTTCACCAGTGGCTGGCATTTACACAGCCTCCTTCATGCACTCATCCCATGGTGCTCTCAGCTGCAGCATCACGATGGTCTTAGCTGTTCTGGACCAGATCCTTTGGGAAGGTGAGGAGGCCTCTTGCTGAGCTTCCTGGATTTCCCTTCAGCTTAATCCACCTGACATCAGCACTTGTCTGATGAGGAACTTGAGCTTGGTCTCTGAGCTGTAGATATTGATACTGCTGAAGCTCTTTAGTACGCCGAGGCACCTTCTCTTTCACCATCTCTACTGCTGTTACAAGGAGGTCATACTCAGGCAGTTCACACAGAAGCCTCGGCAAAACTCCATGCTGATAAGAGCATGCTTTGTATTTCTCTGGTAGGTTGCTCTTGTCCACTCTTTGTACCGAGTCCTCTGCCTGACCCACCACCACCCTGACTCTCACAGTATCATGCCATCAATGCCTTTTAATTAACTTCTTATTTGTATGTATCTATAAACCTGATTATTTGGTATGTCACAGAAACATTTTCATAAGAGTCCATCTCATAATCAGTAATCATTTGCCAGAATCAAACCAGCAAGCATTAAAGACAGTATCTTCTCTGTTTGGTCTAAATTCTGGAACCCTGATATTCTCATGTCAGTGTTTTAAAACCTCCACTAAAATGGTTTCTCCTGCCTCTGTGTCGGCCTCTGCCTTTCAGACATGCACTGTAGTTCATGTTTCCGTTGTCCCGTTTGCTTCTTTAGATCAGCCACCTCCTGTTTTCCTTTGCTCATGAAGTATTTTAATTTCGTTTGAAAACCTTTGTGATTTCTCTGTACATGTTGTCGATGTAGGATTCCTCCATGTTTGCCCGTTTACGTCAGAGGCTCTTGTTTCTATCTTCATCTCTGTGATTGAAACCAGAACCAAGATTCTTTCCTAAGTCTTGTTGATCATATCTGGATCAGAAAGTTGTTTTAATAGTTTTAGGTGGAGGTTTTGGGCGGACATGGGCACTTAGACCACCGTCTTCTCTCCCTCACGACTGGAAACTAAGTCCTCTGTTGTCTCCAGTCAGAATAAACCTTAAATCATCCTCTCACTGCTGTGCAGTCTGTACAGTCTGAGCTCAATGCTTTTACAGGTAATAATGACGACTGTAGATCCAACCACATTTCTACTTCATTCATAACATGCAGTGGTTTTTCGTTCATTTACCATGGGTTACTTAGCCAGATGCTAACAGGTAGAATCACATCAAACTGGACAGAAAATGTGTCAGAGCATCACCTTCACACCACACTTCACACCTCCATTTAATTTGACTTTAATGTGAATGCAGTATTTTGTCCATGTTGGGATCCTGTCTAAGCGGTGACAGTCTTTTTCCAGAGAGCCGATTGGCTGTTCATAAGTCTTAGCCGTGCAGCATAGATTATTATGTTAATCAATCCCTGTCACCTTGGTGATCTACATGCCACCATGTCACCGTTCTCCTCTTACAGCTTGATTGAGGAAAGCAGCCACTGAGAAGGTTGGAGGTTTACAGGAAACACTGGATCTTTGCTCTGATACTGTGTTTAGTGCAATACTGCTGAGAGCAGCATGGACTGACCCCAACACTCTACTGACCTCAGACTCTCCAGTCTACAGTCTGGACTCTCCAGAAAACCACACAGATCCTTCACTCCTGAATCCTGCAGGTTGTTGTAGCTCAGGTCCAGTTCTCTCAGATGGGTGGGGTTGGACTTCAGAGCTGAGGCCAGAGGAGAACAGCTGATCTCTGACAACCAGCAGCGACTCAATCTGAATTGTGAATAAAAGATGTAGATAAAATCAATTATAATCAATCAGATATGTCCTAATCAATGGTCTTAGTCTAAAATGAATAGAGGGACTTTGTCCTTCTGTCAGTCATACACCTCTTCATGTCAACAGATTCATCACATGCTGCTGACCTCAGAACAGTCTATCAATATAGAATCAATACCTGATCAGACATGTTGGACTAAAAACTGCCTATAACACTTTTATTCATGACTGAACTGGATTTTTAAAGATCCAGTCCTGATCCAATAAAAAGGTCTTGCTTGGTCCTGGTCTCAGGAAATCCAAATCTAAACACATATTAAACTGAACACAAACTGTTTTCATCCATAATTACAGATGATTTAATGAAAACTTGAAAAAAAATTTTTGGTGCATTGAAAACAGCTGAGGAAACTTCACAATACAAGATTTACACTTAATGGACTGAACCTTTTAAAACAAACACACACACACACACACACACACACACACACACACACACACACACTGGACATTTTCTACAGTGTATAGAAAACATGAGTCCTCTGACTGAGAGAAATACCAGTGTCTGAGTTCTGAAGGTTGAACTGAAGTGAACAGACATTATTCATGACAACTGAGTGAAATGAGCTGAAACTGAAGAATCATTCTCAGTCTGAGAGAAGAACAACTGGAAACATGAGACAACAACTATTTCAAATGTCATTCATTCATTAAAAGTGCAATGTATAAGATCTGGCCAAATCTGACCAGAATTTTAGTCAATAGTATGTGAAGGAGCCACTGTGATGATGTCACGACCAAGACCACCATTTATTCTGAAATATACTGAAATAAGCATGCTAACCAACTAGCCTCGTCCTGGACTGTGTTGTAATACCACCTAGACACACTAGATGCTGTGTGAGTTAGTGTAGCATCTAGTCTGCCCTCAGTCCCATGGAGAAGAAGAGCTTCCTCCTGAGCTTTGACTTACGCTACAGCTCCCAACCAAAAAAAAAAAAAAAGCTGCTGACGAGCATCACAGAAGCACAGAGATGGATTAAGCGCCCAGAAAACAATCCTTATCTCCATCCCAAATAACCGCTCCGAGAAGATACCACATTCAATGGCAAAGAATGAAAACACGGATGAATCTTGGTGTGTTTTCCCACTGCTGGAGACAGCTCCGGGCGAGTAAAGAGATGTGGTTTGATGCGGAGCTTCAACTTTTGTGTTAGACTGGTGAGTAACATGTAATGTTGGTCTGTAGCAAAAAGTATCATTAGTGCAAATGACAAACCATACTGACAAACACTTCAAGTGGCATAAATGTATGATGTTGACATTTTAGTGATTTAGTAGAATTTAGCCTGTTCCTGCGGCTGTTGTCCAGATAGATGCATCAGTAACCTTTTTTTACAAGTAAGACAAAGAAACTATTTGATCCAGAACCAGCAGGTTCAGGATCCACTGCCTAGTACTGTATTTATTTTAGCATATTCATATCTATCATTACTATTTATTATACACACACAACAGACCTAACATGTTTGAATATAAAGAACTTTTACAATCCAAACTAATTGTCTATATATATGCCTATCACATGTTTGTTTGTATCAGGACCAGAATTCCAGTCCAGTCATCCCCAGTGATGGACCAGCACCTGCCTTTTCTTCTGCATCTGGGCTCATCAATCAACAACCACATTACAGTAACACCTTGGAGTATTATCCCTGCACAGAACACATATTGTCTATACTGTGATCTTTTGCACATCCTGCTCAGCAGGCCTTTATTCTATAGTACAGTAGAGAGACAGGAAATGGGGAGGCAGAGAGAGGGGGAATGACATGCAGCAAAGGGTGTCCGATGTGGGACTCGAACCGGGGCCAACTGCAGCGAGGACTGTAGCCTCTACACATGGGGAGCCTGCTTAGACCACTATGCCACACGACTATGCCCACTATGCCTCAGCAGGAGTTTTATCAACACTTTTGTACATTGTTTTTTTTCATAGTTTTAGTTTTTCAATATGTGTATCTATGTTTTTTTTTTTTTGACTGTTGCAGTATTTTATGTTTTTAATGTTATTTCCTGTTAATATGTTTATTGGATACTGCACCAAACACCAAGCCAAATATCTTGTAAGTAAAAACCTTCCTGGCAATAAACCTTATTTTCTGATTCTGCCTTTGTGGTGATGTCATCATCCCTTCCTCATGCTGCTGTAGCCTGACACCCATGTGTCATGCAGTATCCTCTTACCTTCATATTTTTTATAGGTAAATAAAAACATACTGTTTGTATTACAAGTACTCATAATTTGTTTCAGTGCTATCAACCATTTTAACTATCAACAATAAATGCACATATAAATAATAAATTATAAGGAACATGGGGAAAACAACAACATGATTAACTGGACAGGGGCAAATAGGTGGAATGCTTCCCCCTATAGAGGTGCATCAAGTAGCACGATCTTACACATTATACCTTTAAATCAAAGTGAATGACTCAAGTTATGTGTCAAGATTAATTAGGTTCAGTTGTGGGATAAAGATGATCTGACCTCAGAGTCTCCAGTCTACAGCCTGGACTCTCCAGAAAACCACACAGATCCTTCACTCCTGAATTGTGCAGGTAGTTGTCACTCAGGTCCAGGTATCTCAGATGGGAGGGGTTGGACTCCAGAGCTGAGGCCAGAGAAGCACAGCTGATCTCTGACAAACTGCAGTCCCTCAACCTGAATAAAGAATAAAAAATGTGAGTTTAGGGGACAAAGTTCCTGCTTGAAAGAGTTCAGTGTTTCATCATCTGTTCAGAGCTGAAGAAAGTTTAGAAATAGAAGTTTAGAAAATGTAAACTCAAACACCTGAACCAACAGGATGCAGGTTAAAAACAGACAAATACAAACAGTGAAAACAGCTCTCATTAATAATAATAACATGCTGCTGCTTCAATAAAGACGTAGTGACTCCACCTCTAAAACTCTGCCAGCTCCACCAGCAGCTCCATCTATACAAACTCATGTTGTGCAGCCACATTTATTAGAGATTTTACTAAAGATCCTTAAGTTTTCAAAGACAATAAACATGTCAGTCTGAACCCTGGAGAAAGGTCAACAAATGTAAATAAATATATGTTAAATTCACTACTTGATGAAACGACAGAGACACAGACACCTGGTGACTCACTTCAAATATTTAACATAGTAAAACGAACAGTATTTAAATTAATGAAAGAACCTGTTGCTAGGGCAACTTGGGTTTGAATATTTGAGTCACTATAAACATTAAAGAGCCTTACGAAAGTGTTGGAGCCATCAGCTATTGATTATAGATTTGTTATGTCTGAAAGATTAAATGTGTTTCTGTTGTTGGGACTCTTGTACATTCGAGATTCTGGAGACCACATGCTCTTTGTTCTACAGACAATAGAACTCACTTCCCCACAGTTCCTCACTGTTCTCATCTGGGGATGACCCTCCCCAAGGGACCACACTGACCAATGAGGGTTGGTCAGTGTGTGACAAGTGACCCCCCAAGGGTGTCACCAGACAAAACCAGATCTCCTTCACTGTTCTTCCTCTTCCCTTTTTGGCTGCCTCAAGAGAGCATCTCCTCTCCCCTCTCGGCTCTTCAAGGAGCAACAAGGCTCCCAGCACCAGGTCAGCACAAGGCTACCTGGAGCAACAGCTCTCTTTTCTGCATGCTCACAGCACACTGCAACACTCTTCTCCTCAACAGCAGTGACCTGCTTAGGATTAACTGAAAGTGAACCAAGTTCTCTTCAGAATCAGCGGCTACAACACAAGGCCAGCCAGCTGATTTTCCAAGCAACAGGAGCCACAGCTGAGTTAGCATGGAACAGCTAACTCTGTGAGAAGAACAAGGAGAAAACAGCAGAAGCCACACAGCCCCATACACACACACACACACACACACACACACACACACACCTTATGTCTGCAGGTTACTGTCAACACAACTTTCACATCACATTTATCTCAGCACAATGATAAAAAATGGAGTCTGACCTCAGAGTCTCCAGTCTACAGTCTGGCCTCTCCAGAAAACCGAACAGCTCCTTCAATCCTGAATCCTGCAGGTTGTTGTAGCTCAGGTCCAGGTATCTCAGATGGGAGGGGTTGGACTTCAGAGCTGAGACCAGAGGAGAACAGCTGATCTCTGACAAACTGCAGCGACTCAATCTGAATTATGAATAAAAGATGTAGATAAAATCATTGCTAATCAATCAGATATGTCCTAATCAATGACCTCTAGTCTAAAATGAATAGAGGGACTTTGTCCTTCTGTTATTGTGGATCATCATAATGTCAGCCTTCTACAGTCATCATCCAAATGTCAGCACAACATTCATACACCTCTTCATGTCAACACAGATTCATCACATGCTGCTGCCCTCAGAACAGTCTGTCAATATAGAATCAATATCTGATCAGACATGTTGGACTAAAAACTGACTACAAGACTTTTATTCATGACTGAACTGGATCACAGTTTAAAGATCCAGTCCTGACCCAGTAAAAAGGTCTTGCTTGGTCCTGGTCTCAGGAAATCCACATGTAAACACATATTAAACTGAACACAAACTGTTTTCATCCATAATTACAGATGATTTAATGAAAACTTTGGAAAATGTTCATTTTATTTGTTGGTGCTTTGAAAACAGCTGAGGAAACTTCACAATACAAGATTAACACATCACAGTGAATGATTCAAGTTATGTGTCAATATTAATTAGGTTCAGTTGTGGGACAAAGATGAACTGACCTCAGAGTCTCCAGTCTACAGTCTGGACTCTCCAGAAAACCACACAGATCCTTCACTCCTGAATCCTGCAGGTTGTTGTAGCTCAGGTCCAGTTCTCTCAGATGGGAGGGGTTGGACTTCAGAGCTGAGGCCAGAGGAGAACAGCTGATCTCTGACAACCAGCAGTGACTCGATCTAAATACAGAATAAAATATGCAGATAAAATCATTGATAATCAGTCAGATATGTCCTAATCAATGATCTTTAGTCTAAAATGAATAGAGGGACTTTGTCCTTCTGTTATTGTGGATCATCATAATGTCAGCCTTCTACAGTCATCATCCAAATGTCAGCACAACATTCATACACCTCTTCATGTCAACACAGATTCATCACATGCTGCTGCCCTCAGAACAGTCTGTCAATATAGAATCAATATCTGATCAGACATGTTGGACTAAAAACTGACTACAAGACTTTTATTCATGACTGAACTGGATCACAGTTTAAAGATCCAGTCCTGATTCAGTAAAAAGGTCTTGCTTGGTCCTGGTCTCAGTAAATCCAAATCTAAACACATTAAACTGAACACAAACTCTTTTCATCCCAAATTACAAATGATTTAATGCAAACCTTGGAAAATGTTCATTTTATTTGTTGGTGCTTTGAAAACAGCTGAGGAAACTTCACAATACAAGATTTACACTTAATGGACTGAACCTTATAAAACCAATACATATACACACACACACACACACACTGAGCATTTTCTACAGTGTATAGAAAACATGAGTCCTCTGATTGAGAGAAATATGAGTGTGTGAGTTCTGAAGGTTAAACTGAAGTGAACAGACATTATTGATGATAACTGAGTGAAATGAGCTGAAACTGAAGAATCATTCTCAGTCTGAGAGAAGAACAACTGGAAACATGAGACAACAACTATTTCAAATGCCATTCATTAAATCACAGTGAATGATTCAAGTTATGTGTCAAGATTAATTAGGTTCAGTTGTGGGACAAAGATGAACTGACCTCAGAGTCTCCAGTCTACAGTCTGGACTCTCCAGAAAACCACACAGATCCTTCACTCCTGAATCCTGCAGGTTGTTGTAGCTCAGGTCCAGGTGTCTCAGATGGGAGGGGTTGGACTTCAGAGCAGAGACAAGAGAAGCACAGCTGACCTCTGACAAACTGCAGCCCTCTAATCTGAATAAAGAATAAAAGATGTAGATAAAATCATTGATAATCAATCAGATATGTCCTAATCAATGATTTTTAGTCTAAAATAAATAGAGGGTCTTTGTCCTTCTGTTATTATGGATCATCATAATCTATCATCATTCTACAGTCATCATCCAAATGTCAGCACAACATTCATACATCTCTTCATGTCAACACAGATTCATCACATGCTGCTGACCTCAGAACAGTCTGTCAATATAGAATCAATATCTGATCAGACATGTTGGACTAAGAACTGACTACAACACTTTTATTCCACTTTTGTGCATGGATTCGTGTGAATGGGGAAAATGGGTTTTGTATTATTTTTCCTTGCATATGAACAATGCCATTAGTGTTATCGTTGGCCTGTTAGGTGAACACAGGTGTGGAAATTAGCTTTTTGTTGTTATTATTTTCATTCCACGGTTATGTTTTAATTGGGGGGGGGGGGGTGGTTGACGACAGCGCAGAGAGAGGAGATGTCATAGTTTGCCATGGTGGACATTTCATGTTTGAATTTAGCGTTCTTTGTCTTGTATTTCCGTATTTTATTTTGATACTCACCTCTTGTCTCGTTTCAGGTCCTTTACTTCCTCCTGTGTGATTACCTGCCCTGCCCTAATGTGTTGCACCTGTGTCTCATTGTCTCCCCTCCTCCTGAGTATTTAGTCTCTGTGCTCCCCTTTGTCTGTGTCCGTTCGTCTGTTCATGTCCCTGGTGTTACCTGTCCTTTATACCTCGAGCTTCCGGTTCCTGCTGTAATTGTCCTCGGTGTCTGCTGTTGTTGTCCCCTGTGTCTCCGGTTGTGGTTCTTGTGTGCCCTCGTGCTTCGGTTTCCTGTTCTGTTGGTTTGCCTGTCTTCCCCTGTTTTGCCTGTTTGGATTTTGAGTTTTTGTAAGTAGTTATTTTTTGTCATTAAACTATTTTCCACCTACTCCCTTGTGTTTTCGGCTACATTACGGTCCAGCCTTACCCCTACCTTGACAGAACGAACGGACCAAAGAAATGGACCCAGCAGTCTACGCCAGTTTCAAGGCTTTTTTGGGGAACCTGGCTAGCGTTCCCTGGGAGGTATCTAGGGGTGGGAGCCCCTGGGAGGTTCCCGGTTCACCGGTTCCCCAAGCAGCCTCAGCCCCAGAACTCCAGCTTCCAGCCACAGTCCCAGGTCTCCAGCTTCCAGCCCAAGCCACAGTTCCAGGTCCCCAGTTTACAGCCCAAGCCACAGTCCCAGGTCCCTAGCTTATTGCCCAAGCCACAGTCCCACGTCCCCAGCTTACAGCCCAGGCTGCAGTCCCAGGTCTCCAGCTTCCAGCCCAAGTCACAGCCCCACCCGCCCCGCTATCCAGAGCTTTTGCTGTCCTTTCCTGAGTCGACCATACTAGCTGACGCATCAGCTGTTTCAGTGTCGGGGGTCCCGGTCAACATTACACCTGCTACTCGTGTTTCATCGGCAGCCCAGCTGGCTCCTGCTTCCGAGTCAGTGGTCTGGCTGACTCCTGCTCCTCATTTCCTGTTGGTGGTGCGGCCAACTCCTGCTCCTCGAATCCTGTTTGCAGCCCGGCTAACTCGAGCTCCTGATTTTCTATCGGTGGCCCGGCTAACTCCTGATTCTCGTTCCTGGTCAGTGGTCCGGCCGACACCTGCTCCTCGCGTCTTGTCGATGGCCCTGCTGACTCCTGATTCTGGTTCCCAGTCAGTGGTCCAGCCGAATCCTGCTCCTCGTTTCCTGTCGGCAGCCCAGCTTACTTTTGATTCTGGTTCTCAGTCAGTGGTCCAGCCAACACCGGCTCCTCATCTCCTGATGGCGGTCTGGCTGAATCCTGCTACTTGTTCCATCGGCGGCCCAGCTGACACCCAATTCTGGTTCCCAGTCGGCGGTCTGGCCGATGCCTGTTCCTGTTCCCCAGTGGGTGGTTCGGCTGACTCCTGTTCAGTCGACAGTCCAGCCACCTCCTGCTCCTCATGTCCTGGCGGCGGTCCGGCCGCCTCCTGCTGCTGTTCCCCAGTCAACTCCTGCTCACCTTCCAGAGTGGCTCCACCTGCGATGCCAGCCTCCTGCCCGCTGGCCAGAGGGGCTCCACCTGCTCGCTGGCCTCCTGCTCGCCCTCCGGATGATGCTCTCATGCTCTGCCCCTGTGGTCCCAGGCTCCTTCCCTTGCCCAGTTAGTTTCCTTCCTGTTCCATTGGCCCCTAAATCTGACCCTTAAGGGGTGGGGCACTGTCATGGTTTGCCATGGCAGACATTTTATGTTTGAATTTAGCGATCTTTGTCTCATACTTCCTGTTTTATTTGATACTCATCTCGTTTCAGGTCCTTTACTTCCTCATGTGTGATTACCTGCCCTGCCCTAATGTGTTGCACCTGTGTCTAATTGTCTGTCTCTCCTTTTCTGTTTTGCCTGTTTGGATTTTGAGTTCTTGTAAGTAGTTAGTTTTTGTCATTAAACCATTTACTCCCTTGTGTTTTTGGCTGCATTTGGGTCCAGCCTTACCCCTACCTCAACAGGAGAACGCAGACCAGCTATGGAGGGGGCTTCCAGTGGACTTTAAAGAGGATACCGTTCTGTGGATTACACATTGTGGACCTTCACTGGAGTACTGCAAGACCTTTTCTATCAAACACTGTGGTGAGATTGTGTGGATTCTTCTTGTATTTTGAACTGCAGCATCTTGCAGTCACCCACCTGTAAACAAACATTATTCCTCGCCTTGACTGGTGATTAACCATGTTCATACCATTTAAATTGTGTTAACAGACATTGAGACCGTTGGGGTATTATTCATGAAAGCAAGCCTGCCTCGCAGCCTTTTGTTTTTGGTATGCAGTCCAGGAAGGGTGTGATTTTATTTCATTTCACAAACATAGTTATTGGGACTCATCATTCAAGAGACCAGGTGTTTCTTTGCTCCAGTGGACAAAGGAACTCACACCCCACAGTTGCTCACTGTTCACACCTGGGGACGACCATTCCCCCCACAGACCTAACTGGCCAGCCAGTGTGGGTCAGCGTGTGACATGTGACCCCCAAGGGTGTCACCAAACAAAACCAGTCCTCTGGCCTTCTTCTCTCTCTTCTCTTCTTGGCTTGCTCTGGAGAGCAGCTCCTGCTCTCCTCTTGGCTCCTCAAAGGGCAACAAGGCCCCAGCCCAGGTCAGCCTTGCTACCTGAGAAACCAGCTCTCTCGCCGGCCTGCTCACAGCAGCCTGCAAACACTCTTCTCCTCAACAGCAGCGACCTGCTTCGGATTAACTCAGAGTGAACCAAGTTCTCTTCAGAATCAGCAGCTACGACACAAGGCCAGCTGATTTTCCAAGCAACAGGAGTCATAGCAGAGTTAGCGTGGAACAGCTAACTCTGTGAGAACAAAGGAGATAACAGCAAAGCAACACAGCCAGACAGGACTTTACTCCACCAGGAAGCCTCCCAACTCACTGGACTTTACAACAACACTGGAAAGGACCTCTTTGTGTGTTCCAAGGACTGGGTAACGTTAACTGACTGGGCCTAACCTTTCCCAGCACAGTATAGCACAGCACAGTATAACTAAGCAGCAGAAGTCTTAACTTTGTTAATGTACTTGTTGATTGATGTCTTGTTGATGTAATGTTTGCTTAGGTTGTGGTCAGTCATACAGTTAATCAGGCACTCGTATGTTCACATACATAGTAGTATGTCTCAGTTCTAGAACCTGCATGAAGCTAACCACCTCCCTCTAACCCGGTACCCTTAGATTACATGAGCTAGGCTAACAAAGAAACTCACACCTTCCCTCTCACACACAAGGCGGTCTCAGTGGCCATTTTGAGTAGTTTCTTTGTTTACCGCCATCTTGTGTAGTCTTCTTTGTTCAGGTCATGTGGTCACAGTGACCACTTTGAATCGGCCATTTTGCCTTTGTTTGTGTCCACACACACACACACACACACACACACACACACACACACACACACCCCTATATACACACACCTGTATATACTAGATTAGACATTGTGTTTTACTCTGCTCCATTGTAAATAAATGCCTTTAAGTATAACTACTGGTGTTTAATGTTGCATAAGCATGAATATTGCCAACCTCTACTTTGTAGAATTCCAATCCTTCAACTTTAACTTACTGTTGATTTGGTAATTTGGTTATAGTTAGTAAGCTAATTGTTAATCAGAGTTCCAGATTAATGGTAATGAATTGAGACTAAAACCATATTGGCTATTTTGCCTATTAGTTTAGGCTGGTGCCCCGAGTACTTTAATTAATTTTAAAGTTATTATTTACTATTAATATTTTTAATAATATTTTCTTAATTTATGATAGCCAATAAATTGATAGACAACCTAAATCCAACATATTTGGTGTCCAGCTCATGAGGTAGAGCTCAGACCCAACATAGTGGTATCTGCATACTAAAAGTGCCTCCTTCATCTCCAGATAATTTGTCATAAGAGCAAATATTTCCTATTTTCTTTGGTGATTTTTACTCATTCAGTTAAATGTACTTATATAGTAGGTATTAGATCTGCCCATTACCTTTTTATATAGCATGTGTACTTTTCTCCTTTGACTTCTATAATTATGGTGAATTGTTACAACTGAAATGGATCAACATTTAAAGATCCAGTCCTGATCCAGTAAAAAGGTCTTGCTTGGTCCTAGTCACAGGAAATCCAAATCTAAACACATATTAAACTGAACACCAACTGTTTTCATCCAAAATGACAGATGATTTAATGAAACTTTGGGAAAATTTTATTTGTTGGTGCTTTGAAAACAGCTGAGGAAACTTCACAATACAAGATTTACACTTAATGGCCTGAACCTTATAAAACCAACACACACACTAGACATTTTCTACAGTGTATTTAGAAAACATGAGTCCTCTGACGAGTCTGAAATACAAGTGTGAGGGTTGAACTTAAGAGAACAGACATTATTCATGACAACTGAGTGAAATGAGCTGAAACTGAAGAATCAGTCTCAGAGAAAA